GCCTTTCCGGTTAGCGGCTGTGTGTGTTTCACGCTCATGCTAGTCTGCTAGCTCTCCTTCAAAGCACAAGTCCAGTTGCTTCCTTTAATTGACCTGATGAATTAAAGGTTATCCAGCCGATGAAGCCGCAGGGAGTTGATAACTACAGCTTTGTGATTTTTTACTGAATTATTGGCAGGTAAGTTTTATTTTTACTGGTTTAGCTAACTTAGCTATTAGCTCATGCTAGTTTTCGCAGCACGTTAGACACGAGAAGGTAAATATCGGTGCATTGTTGTCCTGATGCTTAGTAACAAACATTTAAACACTTCTTTATTTACGTCTTAATGTGTTTAACTTGTTTAATTTAACTGGTTTACAGCTGATTTTTAAGAGATATAGGTTCGTAAGTTGTTTATTTAAAAAAAAACGCCTTAGCAAAAAGTAGTATATGCAAGTATCCGATACTAATTTAAACTAAAAGTAAAAGAGTATACTTCCAGTTCGCGTTTTGTGTAGATTACTTTCAGTATACTTCTAAGTATGCTTTCATAAACTAATTGTGGGCCAGTTTAATCCTAGAAGTATACTTGTTAGTAAACTACTAGTGTACTTATATCAATGGTAAACAATGGCAAATAAAAGTACACATAGGGAAATACAATTTTATATATTTTAGTATATTTAATGACATGTACTTTAAGTATACTTCTTTTTGTAAGCACWTTTATAAGTTTATAAACCAACAAAATACATCATAACAGTACTTAAAGTATACTTTTATTAACAAAAAAGTCCCCATTTGGTACGAACAAGTATTAAATCAGTATACTTTCTAGTACGCTACAAGTACATGGTGCCTAGCATACTTGACATACTTAAAGTTATGCTGAAGTATTAAAATGAGCTTCAAGTGTACTACTTTTTGCTAATCTCTGCTCCTGAATMACAGCGTCATGAAGGTGAACAAACACCTGCAGGATCCAGGGAAATCTCAGAAATGGAAAGATGTGAGGGGCAAACGCTGCAGAGCCACTGTCAAATCCTCCGACCTCAGCTCCAGTCCTGTCCCGGTCCAGGTGGTGAGGGAGCACCAGGTGTCTGTGAAGAAAAAACGCTCTGTCAAAAGGTTAAAAAAGAAAGCAAAGCCAGTGTCTGCGCCTAAACAAACCTCTCCTGAATCTGAGAGTAAGAAGTCGTACTCTCACACCAACGGAGGCTCGACGTTTACCCCAAATCCTCCTCCTGGTCCTGGAGAGGACCTCCAGGACTGGAAGCAGTATTCCCAGTCGGTTCGGATGGACAGTGCCGAGCCGTCGGGTGAAATGCAGGATGTTCTGGGAGAACGAGTGGAGGGAGAGGCTCTTCATCACTGTGCGCAGAGAGATGATCGGCGGAACCACGCAGTGCTGGTCCTGCAGAAGAACCAGGTGTGTTTCTGTCACCTGAAGCTACAGCTGCTTTAGCTTCTGACTCATCTCTGCACTGTTCTTTTACAGACTCTGTGTTTTCGGGGAAAGTGCATCCTGACGTGTCTCTACGGTCGTGTGGAGGTCATGGGGTTCACTATTGAAGAGGGCCAGAAGTCCTACCCCCTCTTCTCACCAGCGTCTCACTGTCCACTCACCATCAGATCCATGGAAACCTCTCATTACGACAGAGATGACAGAACAGACGCGTCACGGATCCTTCAGGCCCACCTGCACTCAGGTATCCTGTTCTTCTGAGTTCACCTGCTGCTGCCCTTCAGTCTGATCAAAGTGTCTCACTGGGCTGCGCTAACGGAGCATCTCAGGATTCTGAGTGTTTGCAAACAGAGGGCTACGTTTGTGATTTTTAGACCTGGACGTGTGTCTGTCAGAGGAGAACAGGAGTCAAAATAAAGCTCTAGAGTTGTTGAGGTAGGCTGGAGATCCCAGGAATGGGTTCAGAACAGGGCTGTAGCGATATGCTAATCTCACGATACGATACACTATTCGATGTTCTGCTCATGATACGATATCACGATATTCAGCGAACGATACGATTCGATTTTCTGAATGATTTTAGAGGGACAGAGTGATTTTGGTGACATTTTGTGACTCTTCCATAGACTTGGATTTAATTAACTGAACTGAAAACTGATTAAAAGCACCAACTACACAATACCTGCTCTGATTGGACAGAGATATAGGCTGTGTCCAAAACAACAGGACGGGTCCTCCGAAGGTCGAATTTGTCGGCNGTTTGTCGCACTAGCACCGAGCTAATACATATAAGGCAATATAGAGTCAGCGCTAGCGCAAAGGCTAATACTAAAATAATTGGTAACATTTATTTTTTAAAATATTTCCATGCAGACATTCCCCTTTGACATCACTTCCTGTTATTTCACATGCAAATATCTC